AATAGGTTGGTTGCTTGTTTAACGGTCGGCTTTTGGTGAAGGGCTACTTTGTCTTAGCTACTGTGCTTCGTTGAGTGGCTAGTCTTCTGGCTATGCCAGTAACCCCAGCACCTTCTCTATGGCGGGTACATATATTCTGCCCGAGTACTGCGGCTTCTTTTGCCTTCAGGGAAGTCTCGGGGCGCTACATTTGTGGCAGCGGAAAGCAAGCCCGATCCTAGAGAACATCCATTCAGATTCCTGCTGAGTGATAAACCTTAGCGGGGCAGAGGAAATACATGTACCACGGACGGGAGAATTGGTGGTGACCCCAAACAGAAGGGCCGGAATTGACATCTACCCTCGGCAACGACCCTGGTTCCGTGTTCTGCGGGAAAGCTATTAACATCTGAAGCGACACTAGCCGTGAGGCAGCTGAAAATTTCGTTGCAGACTTCCCCTACCACATCTGCGTAAAGCTGTCAATAAAGTGAACTCGCAATGCCTCCTTCATTTTCCTGCTAGCTAGACAGAGCTCGGGTGGGTATGGCTGGGTGGCTCCGAAGTGAGGAAAACGCGGAAAGGAGGAACAGATGCGAGACCCTTCCCTCACGGACATGCGTTAAGTCCCGTCCTTCCTTGCACAAATCTGCTTTTAGACCAGTGCTCCTACGTTTATCTATGGACACGCATGATGACCAGCACAATTTCCAGTTCCTGAACCTAGTTCCCAAACCGGACGAAACTCCAGATCCAATTGAATTGCTAAGAGGGATCAGTGACGTTGCGGTCAAGTGTTTCCTCAGTTGTGTAGAGATTTGATGACTGGCACGGCCGGCTTGTGGGTGTTTCCTTACAGCACTGACAACGCTGTGATTGCTGATGCGGGAGGTTGACCGAGGGGAGCGCTGGGGACGATGCTCGAAAGGAGCGAGGGCTATGTAATGCGTTGGTTTTTTTGTTCAACGGTCGGTTTCAGTAAAGGGCCACTTTGTTTTGGGCATTGTATCTCGCTGGATGGGCTGGCCTCCGGGCCATGCCAGTAGCTCCAATGCCTTTGCGCGCCAAATATATGTATGTGCTTTGCCTGGATATTACGTCTTCCTTCGTCTTCAGGAGAGCG